TTTTTGATATAATTTCATCAGAATAAATGAATTTAAGTTGATTTCTTTACATTCAGACAAATCTATTCAAGCTTGCACTTACATATTTCAATCCAACTGGTTTGAGATCTATATATTTTCGACAGAAGATAATCTAAAACTAAAAAGATATACAAAATCTGACCAAATAAATTGTAATAATGTTGCATAAATATCAACATCAATGACTGACGGTTCAATGTTCTAGAGCTGAAGAGTTCGAACGGGATGATCGAAGTTCATGTGTTCTACTCTTTCTGACGTGTTAGTGGATACGGTTTAGTAAAGAGTCCTATACTGGAATGAAATCTCTATTTGTCACTTTCAGACTTTGAATAAGGGTTTAGGTACTGATCAGTTCGTGACTGACACTACGAAAACACAAACACTAAAGTGAATGTTTTGTTATTTTAAAATATAACATCAAATCAACTGAAAATCTCATGTCTAGGTGTTACATGAAAATCTACTATTGTGGTGAGACTATAATTTATGGACAACCTTTGAGCGTCAATAAAATGACCTGAATATCCACCTACTAACTAGATCTAAATGAGGGTTATAAACCAGTATGCAGAGTTACAGCTAGCACGGTCTTGAATCAGAGTTTCCTATTGACTACTGCTAACCACCTCATATATCAATATAGTGAACATGTTATCGAGTCATTAAACTAGTATTCACATTGTAACTTGTTCGATAGAACTTGACCAAGTCTGAGATGAACTTAATGTAAATAATAATAGTCAATACTTGTAGAATAGAGCTGATGATAAGACTATATTTTATGGACGACCTTTGATTGACGCTGAAGTGGTTTCAAGAATATCCTCCAACTGATCAGAGCTAAATGAGTTTGATGAATCTGTGTGAGGAAATAGAATTACGATTTACAATTGATGCTGAGCGGTTAGGAATTAGATTTAAGGGTTTTTCATCACGAACTCTATTTAACCAAATTGATGAATGAAGTTCGCGCCAAAATCCATGACCTTTCATCATAAATCTGATTGGTTTTTTCATAAATTATAGTCTTAACAAATTTCAGTCAGTCAGTCAGCTACAACGTAGGACCAGGCACATATATGCATCGGTCCAAGATGCCATACCTCATTAACACAACAACTGGGATCACCGGCTAAGTAATAGTAAGGTTAGATGCAGGGTATTAGAGAATGATGGTAAACCAGTTGATGAGGTTGTGAATCTTCATCGACCGAGGTGTTTGGACCACGTGTTACGTATGCATGAACACCGATAACCACGACGTGCAATGCTAATCGGTGTTGGAGATGGTTGCCAAACTTATTGAATATAAAACTAGATTAACTTACATAACCTAGAATTGAAATGATTGTTGTGTTTATGTAGATGAGTCAACGAGCGCAATAAATCATCATTATCTGAATAAGTAAACATGTAGTTCATGTTAGAAAATGAGAAAATATCAATGATACTCATTAAACACTTCTATAACTTGACATCAAATGATACTAATGAACTGGATGGTTTAGTCGTGCAGCTTTCATCAATCTTCTGAATGCCAGATATAAGTCATATGTTCGGACATCTTCACATATGACTCATCGCTTGTCTTGTAGACCTCAATGTTGAATAGTTCTTTTCGTTCAAAAGAACGATGGAAACTTCACGACCAAACCATCCATTTCAGTACTGTATTCATGAAAATGAAACATGATTAGTGTCTTGTTATTTTAATTCTGTCAGAAAATATGATAACAACTGTTATCATAAAACATTTTCACTACTAGCCACTATCCATCTTTGTTTATAATGCTTGTGACTTAAGGCAATATCGAGACAATCTTAAAAGGATGCATACATGCCAACAAGAGACTGAGCAATTACAGTCCCTAACATCAATGTGCAGATGTAAGTAAAACAACACCAAGGGAATTTAAACTTCAGACCAATACACAAACAAGTGACTGTCAAGACTCATTAGCTAAGTGGATAACATAATGGAGTTTGTAGCAAACAGTACTAGGTTCGAGTCCAGGAATGAATATCAACTCTGGGATGCCGTTACATCCGGCTGACCAGTATCAGATGGGATGATGATTTCGAGAAAATAAATGAAAGCAGCTTAGCAGCAAAACATATACCTTGTTGATTGGGTTGCTTAAATTTATCACATATTCCTTGGTTGTATTCAGTTCTCAAATCTGTTTAAATACAAAAATAAATGGTAAGATTTACAAGTTTCTATCTTGACACCTAACTGTATATTATAATAGAAATAATGACGAAAATGATAGATCAGTATTGCGTTGTGCAGATGATTAAGTTTTTGATTGAGATCATGAACCGATTAATGTTAGACCACCATTGAAAACCTGGCAGCACTGGACGGCCGTTTTGCCGGAATGGACAGGCGGTTTAAAACTCCAGACTCAAGAGTGCTTTGATTCACGATGTGGGTGTGGTTTCGAATCCCGAATCCGACACACACTTTGACGAGTCACACAATAGGACACAACGGCAGGCCAGTGCTTCCAGGTTTTCAATGGTGGTCTAACGTCAATCGGTTCATGATCTCAATAAACAAAATAATCGATCTCATATCCTTTATTAATTCCCTATGGATCTGGTACATAATGTTAATTGTTAAGAATGAGTTTTCTATTTATTGATATGCTAAGTGTTTCACTGGAGTTATCATCAGTAAACTATGAACCTATTCATAAGGGGAAACAATGCATCTGTAGGGTATTGAAGGAACCAATATTCCCTTTGAGATTTGAAATTGTGTGACTCAAACTAACGGGTTGAAATGATACCAGTGAACTATTTAGAGTATGACAACTTCTCATACCATGAAACTAGATGCCATAAATTTGATTGAATCCCTCAAGGAACATCACTTTCAACAAAATTGGAAGTACACATCGCTGACCATTTTCTACTAGAAAAATAAATATCTTACTTTTGTTAATAAACTCGTAGATGATTGATGAATAATACTTCTGTTCCAAATGCCCTGGTACGGTGAAGGGTTAGGAATGTCCGCTCTACCTCTCATAATGCTCTTACATGGTAACGCGTATACAGACACTGAAAGGAAATTCCTGTTCTCTGCTCTCTCATGTCATTACTGTAGTTTGATTAATTGAGAGGACGAAATGCGAATGTGCGGCGCTTTAGCTTGGTTGGTGGATATGGAGGGTCCGTTTGGGAGAATGGAAAACCCTGATTCCAAACCAAGTGTGCACATGAACTCCAGTATCCTGAGGAGACAGATTTTGTACGGACCTTTGGCTGGTCACCAGGTCTCAACCTCTTAACAAAAGCACCTGCCTCGGTTTGAGAACCCGGGCACTATCACAGTCCATACACAAATCAAATGACTATGTGACGCATATGTATTCGGTGCCCGCTTTTGTGCCAATATTTATGTATTCAAATAAATAAATAAAATTATCCACATGATGCAAAACAATCATCTTTGATGTAACGGGATGAACAAATCATATACGAAATAAAATGTATCTAATAATGAACAGAAAAGAAAACGAAGTTAAATCAGTTGGTGGATGTGTCACTGAATTTTTATGGTTTAGTTGAAGTTAGACATTCATACTGTTGGATGATGAACAGCTCAATGGTCTAGATGTCAGGCATTCACTCGGAAGACCAATAGATCCTGTGTTAGAATCTCGCGAGGCAAGATCGTAGATGGGCACTGCTCATAAATCCCACATTAAGACGAAATGGACAGCCATCCAATGTTTCTAGGTTTTCCATGATGGTCTAACTTCAACTGAATCACAAAGAATTCCTATGATGGATTAAACTGCAAAATCGTGCATGGAGGACAGTTGAAATCTCGTTCGAAGTAAAGACCGGTGTCAGGCAAGTTTGTTTAGCCTCACCCTTTCTCTTTCTCCTGGTGGTCGACTGGATCGTTAGGCCGTTAACATCTGAAGGGAGGCACGGGATAAAGTGGACATCTAGGATGCAATTTGACGATCTAGACTTCGAAGATGACCTGGTCCTCCTATCGTAATCGCATTAATAAATGCGCGAGAAAACGACCAGTGTGAGAGAAGAAACCAGATCTCAGTGAAGGAAGAAATCAGGAAGACATTCTTTAGTTGGATCGGACACACATTGAGGAAAGTACCCAAATGCGTTACAAGACAAACCCTCACACTGAATGCTCATCGCCAAAGGAAAAGAGGGAGACCAAAGAACACACGACGCCGAGCCAGATATGAGAAGAATGAACAACAATTGGATTAGACTGTAAAAGAAGGCTCACGCCAGAGTGTGTTGGACAATGCTGGTCGGTGACCTTTGCTCCTTTGTGAGTAACAGGCGTAAGTAAGTTAGTAAGTAAGTAAGTAAGTGAGTGAGTAAGTAAGTAAGTGAGTGAGTGAGTAAGTAAGTAAGTAAGTAAGTAAGTAAGTAAGTAAGTAAGTAAGTAAGTAAGTAAGTAAGTAACTAAGTAGGTAAGTAAGTAAGTAAGTAAGTAAGTAAGTAAGGAAGGAAGGAAGGAAGGAAGGAAGGAAGTAAGTAAGTCAGTCAGTCAGTAAGTCAGAAAGTAAGTAAGTAAGTCAGTAAGTAATGAAGTAAGTCAGTCAGTCAGTAAGTAAGTAAGTAATTAAGTAAGTAAAGTAGGTAGGTAAGTAAGTAAGTAAGTAAGTAAATCAGTTAGTCAGTCAGTTAGTAAGTAAGTAAGTAAGTAAGTAAGTAAGTAAGGAAGGAAGGAAGGAAGGAAGGAAGGAAGAACGGAAGGAAGGAAGGAAGGAAGGAAGTCAATCAGTAAGTAAGTAAGTAAGTAAGTAATTAAGTAAGTAAGTAAGTAAGTAAGTAAGTAAGTATGTAAGTCAGTAAGTAAGTAAGTAAGTAACTAAATAAGTAATTAAGTAAGTAAGTAAAGTAGGTAGGTAAGTATGATCTCAAAGACTGAAATTATGAATATATATTCGTTCATTTTCATTTCAATTAACTTCGAATCATTATGATAATTGAATATTTTCTATAAAACACAACAGAATGTTTAAACTAACTTTCATAATTTATCCTTTTATTGTCAAAACATTCTTGTATTTGAAGGGATTCTTGATGATTCATATCTACACAGTTTATAAATAGAAATAATCAACCATTATTTGAATAAAATTATAGCATGACATTTACATAATATGAAGATCAGCTTCATTTCATAATGTATCAATTGAAGCTAGATCAACATTGAAAACCTGAAAGCATTGGATAGTTGTGTTCATCCTGGAGTATAGAATTCCTTAGCAGTCAACATCGATGACCTTGTATGTAGAACTGGAACAGAATCAACGACCTATGGGCCATGTACGCGAATACTTAACCTATTGACCATTGAGTTGATATTCAATGGTGTTACTGAATAACTTCAATCAGTCCACGGAATTGATCCACCGTGCACCATCGCTCACTAATGACTGTCTCCAAGAGCTATTTCATGGAGTTCTAGTGAGAATCAATGACAAGTGGAGTTCAACCGTATCAGTTGTGAGATAGCAACTCACTGACGACAATGTTGAACGATGGCACAACTTCATGAGTTGGTTGAAGTTAGATACAGTTGGATGCCAGCTGAATATTATTATTATTAAAACACCTAAACAATGATTCAAAGAGACACCAAATGATTGCCAACTCAGTGATCTATAGGTTATTCGAGAGGCTGGAGTTCCTCAGTTTGAATCCCGAGAGCGCGATCATAGATGCACATTACTCATAAGTCCCATAGTGGGACAAAACGGACATCATCCAATGCTTCCAGATTTTCCATGATGGTCTAGCTTCAATTGACTGATGAATTCAACTAATGGAATTACTAAACAATTTCCCCAAATCCATTCCTCCTCATTCTAATATGAAATATTCATTCGTTACAAGCACTTACTAAACGTTTTCTGCAAAGATTTCACAGGCCCTACAAGGTCTAAGATATTTACAAATGAAATAGATAACACAAATCAATTAAATTAAAATGAATTAGGTTCTGTTACATATTACATCTTAATAAAACTATATGAAGACTTAAATTCATAGAAACATCATAAGATAGTTTGCTTCCTTGTTTGTTTGTTTGTTTCTTCATCCCATTTTTCCTTTCTTATTGACCAGTATTCTTTGGAATGTAGTTGGAATATGTATAATTCAAATGTCATTTTAAAGATGTACAACTATGTGGATACAATATCCACGAAACGCCTTCTGACATGAATCAACATATGATCAGTAGTGACTGTCACCAAGAGCTATTTCATGCAGTTCTAGTGAGAATCAATAACCAGTGGAGTTCAAGCGAGTCAGTTTTGAGATAACAACCCAATGTTCAGAAGAACAATGAAAACTCTACGATCGAACCACTCAGCTCAAAGAGCAAAAGTCCATCGAAATCATCCACTTGAGCTACAAATCTTCTCCATCATAACAAATGATTAAAAATGTGTGTAGTAGATGTAATTGTTAAAAGATGAAACCTGAAGAATTACCACAATCATCATCAAAATGGTATCTACGATGTTACTTGATGTCGGTTGAACGGATATTATCTGTAATAATCTATTATGGTAGAAAATATCCTGGTTTCTAACTAAAGAGAAAACTATATAACAACACTGGAGGTGGTTAGGACATACATGATGGAAATGATCAAACTGCATTCTTTATAAGGTGATTCTCAACTTCGAATCCCGAAAGGAAAAGAGAACGGAAAGAGATCAAGGAACACACTGTCGAATATACAATCTAATCAATAATGGGAAAAAACAATCAGATTGGTTATTATATAATGCGATATCATGCCAAAAACAAAATGATACTGTTTTTTTGTTTGTAGTACAAACCTCTCATAAGATCAGCACCATTTTCAATCTGTAAACGTTTGCTTGTACATTGTATATCTATAATAAGCAATATTATTTGGAGAAAAACCCATCAATATTTGTGTTTAATTAGACCTACATTGATACATTAATTGTGGGTCAACACGACCTGATTGGATGTTCTCATCTAAACAAATATACAAATCATTTGAAATTTAATATGCAATAGAAATGAATTTCAGATACGGTTATTTTATAGACATAATGGTTGAGATCATGAGTCAATTGAAGTTGGACCACATGGAGGACCTAGAAGCATTAGATGACGATCCGTTTTGTCCTATCGTGGGGCTCCTCAGTGGCAGTGCACATCCACCAACCAGTGAAATTTCTAAAATCTTCACAAAACCACTTCTGATAAATATTGATTTACTTTCATGTATAATAAAATGAAAAAAAGAACATTTCATGAACTAAAAATTAACTTACTGTATATTAATTGAATACGATCTTTATGATATCTTATTGAATATATATTTTCTTCAATCATGCCTGTAAATTAGTCATTAAGAGTATTTAGTTAACAGAGAAAGGGTTTTGTAGATATGACAGTAATTTTTATTAGTTGAGATCATGAGTCAATTGAAGTTAGATCAATATGAAAGACCTAGAAGTACTGGATGGTTGTTTCGTTCTACTTAAAGGACTCTTCAATAGTGAATAAAATGCAATGTAATCAGGTTTTTCATAACAATCTAGCTTCAATTATGTGATGATCTGAACTATTATTGTTTAGAATAGTTATCAATGTGTTGATATTCGATTATTTGTCATTCATATCGATGTTGATTAATGTTTAAATTATTCTCGTATAAGGATAATTTCTGAATAAAATCATTAATACAAACTTCATTTCACAGGTTGTAATCATGAGTCAGTTGAAGCTAGACCACCGTTGAAAACCTGGAAGCACAAACTTCATTTCTATCTGGAATTTGTACTAATGACATCGTTCAGAATATCAATGAAAGCAACAGTTCTCAAAACTGATCAAGATATTTTGTAGTACCGTAATGCAGAATATTTAATTGTCATCATCTGCGCGATCGTTTTCACTACAATATTACTCTTACTAATGTCATTATAACTTATATTGCTACTAATAATAATAATCATAATAATAATAATAATAATAAAATAATAATAATAATAGCACAACAACAACTACTACTACTGATCTTAGCAATACTACTGCCAATACGGTTACTACTACTACTACAATTATTATTACTACTAGCAACAATAAAAATACAAACTACAACTGCTACTACTACAACTACTATTACTACAAAAACTACTACTACACTTACCACTAATACGACTACTACTACTGACTTAGAATATGCTGATGACATAGTTCTATTTGATGAAGACGCTGGATTCTTCATGCCTCGTTTTTCCTCCTTCCAAATTTATTTCACTGTATTATAGTCCTTGAATAACATCTTCAAACCCTAATTTTTCTGATTACAGCTTATAATTTTACTACATCTAGCACTACGGGATTTGAAACGACCACTGCATCTCTGAGCTAATGTGATGTGGCAACGGGAACTGATGTACGTACGCATACAATCCTATATTGTTACTGACTGACTGCACCTACGACTACTACGACTACTACTATTACTTCTAATACTACGACTACTTCTACTACTATTGTTTGCACGATTTCAGTGCGGAATATTTCAAAAATGAAAAATGCGAAATTCACTTCATAATCCTATTTGATTTTAAAGTCTAATGTTGAAATAGATAACATCCAGTGGATGTTTCTAAGATCAGTTCACAAATGCATGTTACTATTTCATATCATTATATCACATGTGTAAATCTGTTTAAAAAGTTGAATAGTTAAACAACGTCATCAACGAATACTTACTTCGTTTACGTGCTAGTTCATAAAATATCCATCTTCGGTCCATATATAAGTCTATGAAAAAAGCAAATGACATTGACATAATTCAAGCTGTTCATGGTAATAAAAATATATATTTATCTGGATACATTAAATCTTGTGTAATTGAACTTAGTCAATATACAAACTACAAAAGACAATTATCAGTTGAGGGGTTGTGGAGATGGTTAATATTTTTGATTGAAATCATGAGTCAATTGAAGCTAATTGTTAGAAATTAACACTATTGGGAGCAGGCTCACTGGTCTAGTTGGTTAAGCGCCTGACGAGAAACTGTTAGGTCCTGGGTTGGAATCTCTCCCGGTACGAAATCATGGATGCGCACTGCCTCGCAGGAGTCCAACACTAGAAAAAACGGGTGTCTACTGCTTCCAGGTTTTCCATGGTGGTCTAGCTTCAATTGACTTATGAGTTCAATCAAAAAGAAAGGATAGTGTCTTACAGATATTTGTTTTTGTAAACAACTGATATTAGTAATCAATCAAAACATAAATAGATAACAGATGTCAAGATGATTGACAGTTAACAATGGAATTGAGAATGAGAATTTCGTTCTATTTTGAACTTATCAGCTAGATATACCTATATCCAAATGTTAATGTTCATTTCAGGGCTTGATACTAAGTGAATCACATGATAGCATGTAAAGCAAGTGGTATCAGGTTGAAGTTCCAAAGTGAACATCAACTCTGAGATGTATATATATATATATATATATATATATATATATATAATTGACAAGTCTCAAATACAACGAAACACTCATTCCATATTTCACTACTAGCTGTCATCAGACTCTACTTATAATACTTGTGACTGTATACAATATCAAGGTAATTCGCATAGGATGTACATATATAACAACAAGAGATTGATCAATTGCACCCTTTAGTATCAATGAAAAGATTCAATTAAACAGTATTTACCATTTCCTGTAGACGCATATAGAAATAATAGAAGTACATTAAGAAGTAGTACAAATGAATGGATCATATTCAATATTGTAGTTTCATTTCTTCTTCTTCTTCTTCTCCTTTTATATCATTTCAAAATGATGGTTAATAGACATAAATACTCACTATAAATATCTTCTATTTCTGATTAAAATAAGCCTCATTATACATAAATAATTAAACAAACTAATTATTCCGAATTACGAAGAATTTGGTAAGTTTCAAAAGTGACCTCATTAATACACCATTGTATATATGGTGTGATTATATGAATCTAGACAATATAGTTTCGGATTATTTGGAATTTGTTGTAAATCATTGACAAATTCATAAACCACACAGAAACTAAATTCATATGAATCTATTCTAGTTGTTGTAGTTGTTGTGGTAGTAGTAGTAGTAGTTGTAGTAGTAGTAGTAGTAACAGTAGTAGTAGTAGTAGTAATAGTAGTAGTAGTAGTAGTAGTAATAGTAGTAGTAGTAGTAGTAGTAGTAGTAGTAGTAGTAGTAGTAGTAGTAGTAGTAGTAGTAGTAGTAGTAGTAGTAGTAGTAGTAGTAGTAGTAGTAGTAGTAGTAGTAGTAGTAGTAGTAGTAGTAGTAATAGTAGTAGTAGTAGTAGTAGTAGTAGTAGTAGTAGTAGTAGTAGTAGTAGTAGTAGTAGTAGTAGTAGTAGTTGAATGTGGAGGAGAAGGAATTTGAATGGGATTATTTGTATTTATGATTGTATTCTAGTTTTGTGCCAATATCTGTGCAGATCTCTATTCATACTGTGGTGTGTACTACTGATGTCGACAGATTTGCATAGTATGTATCACCAACCGAAAGTGAAATTCTTAGTGGCAGAGGTTGAGAAAGTTAGAGAAAAAATAACGAGAAAAGAGATAGATTGGTGTAGAAACAAACGATCAATCAAGTAAGAGATAATTGATGAGTATTTTGCAAATGAAGTATTTACTATATAGTTCTCAGATTTTAGAAAGACATACTGTAATTTTTTATTAAATTATATTCGGTTGTCCCCCTGTTTTATAATTAGGAGTGTTTGAATTTTAGTACAAACTAAGAATCCTATAAATCACTCAATTTAACCAAGAAGTTTTAGCTGAGCACGTAAGAACGTATTGTATCTGTCATTACAAATCAAACAGTTACCAAGTATAAAAGAATCATTAGTTCATACAAACATTACACTGTCATAGGTGTTCTCGTCCAAAACTTTACCAACATTTTGTTTTTCAATAAAGATGAGACATACAGAAAACGTGGAAATGAAAAGATCTAGCTGAATTAAATGAAGTTAAAAACGCAAATTAGTAAAATGTTCATTTCACTTAGTGTTGTTCACCTATATCTTCCTATTGTTGTTTAGGACTGCAATTGATCGGCCTCTTATTGGCATATGTGCATCATGTGTGGATTGTCTTGGTATTGCTTCAAGTCACAAGTTTTGTAAGCAAAGGTGGATGATGATTGTTTGCAGTGGAATTGAAGACGCATGTATCATCCATTTTGGGACTCGTCAGATGGTTGTTCTTGCATTTCACAGTTGATGTACACTCAGGGACTTGATCCCAGTGCCGTTTGTTTCAAACTCCATCGCGTTATCTACTTAGATATTGAGTCCTGATAGCCAACTCTTCGTGCAATGTGGTGATGATTGAATTCACTTGATATTGTTTACTTGAATCTTCCGATTGATGTTTAGGACTGCAAGTGATCAGTCTCTTGTTGACACATCTACATCCTGCACGGGTTGCCTTGATACCTAATGTTACTTGAACACTTAAAACCGAATCGTCCTTATATTTCAAATTATATATGAGATTGGGTCATTTACAAACGTCGAGTAATTGTTATCAATAGTTGTATAAATGACTAGGGAATCAAACTAATGACTATTGTAGCAAACCAATCCAGAAATGATGTTAGACATCGATGATGAATGTCTTTGTAAATCAACTATGAACTGTAAATCAAATGAAAATAACATGACGGAATTTGTAAGAATTGACAATCTACTAGTGGTTTCATCGAAGACAACCTTCATTATTGACATAATTATAGTTATATAATATACATTAGTTTTCAGGAGAACTGGAAACCATCTAGACTTTCACATGACAACCCAAACAGTACAGCTCAATTCCCAGACTTAACCTGAGCAGTGCAGGCCAATCCCTTTTAGCTGAAGAGCCAGCCACCACTCACGCTTAAAAATGGTAGCCCAAATAGTGCGGCTCAACCCAGTTTCCAGGAGAATCAGACAATATCCAGTCTTAAACTTTATAGTCCGAGCAATACAACTTAATTCCGCTTGACCGGACAACCAGAGATCTTATAGGTTTTAACGCCACAATCTGAATAGTACAGCTCAATCTTGTGAAGCAACCATACAGGTACCAAGCACTCTAGTGGACCATTCGCATCATTCATATACACATTCATATCACATGTATAATTATTCCGGTCAATGATCACGTGAGTCAGCTATGCACAGTATGAACAGCCGAGAGCTCACCTATTCCGCTTACACGACAGTCAAACGCGTTAATGTCACCAATGGCGATATACCTTACAAATTCCCTTGAGAACACTGAAAAGCAAGTACCAGTATGAATGAAATCGGTTAACCAGCAAATTAAATTTGCTTCATTTCAATGTTTACGCATTACATAATTTATATGACCTGATATTTACACTTCATTATTCAAAATGACAACAACCACAACATAAAAGAGAATTCAGAATAATCAAATTTCAAACAAACCTAAACTCATTAATAAAATTAGGGCAGTCGATTTGTCAGTGCAAATTTATGAAATACTCTTGTACAATACTCTTGTTAATGAAGGAGAAACAAACAGTGAATGTTACATTGTTGACAAAATTCTCTGATGATCAACATTGATCAACACCGTTTAGTCCTTTAACGTTGCTTCAGTAGTATCTGATGATTTGCTTCATCACAGCGTGCTCCTCTAAAGCAGCATCTCTCTTCTAGCCTTCAGGCAAAATTGCTGTCTAATGTGTGTTTACCAGTTGCCTGAGATTATCTTATATCCTTATGACAAGCTAGGATAAAAGGAATGGTTTTTCAAGCTGGATGCTTGACATCACAGTATCACTCTCGGTCTTTGGTACCTCCCACTATTATCATCCCAGCCATCTAGCTGTATTAACCCTATTCAGTTTGATGGCATATTCTGGATTAATATTTTTTCAACACTAATGTTTTTATTCCTGGATAGTCGAGTTGCTAGAAGCAACAGTTATCATATAACCGAAGAGTAGATTAGTTTGTCGGAAAATGAAAAACTATGAAATTCGGATATTGATGAGTAAAGAAAAGACGATGTAAAAACTATATCCGAAGCTCACTTTCATCAGGAACACTCCAAGAAAATCTAGCAAGACATTTTCTGGTGGGATGAATATGATTGTTTCAAGTTCTCCAGGAAACATGAACCCTGATTATGCGGCCTACAATATTCGAAAAGGGGAAGTTCCTAAAGCAGTCCTTGGATTGTAGGGACATATTGGTACAGCCGAAACGTTCTACGATTCTAGAACTTAGTTACCAAAGTTATCCTTCCACCGTACAATAATGATGGAGGCTATTACGAGGCACTTGGTGTCAACAAACACCAGTTACCAAATAGAATCCACGTGCATCTGTATAAGCCACATGATACAGTTAACTTCCAATGTTGATCATCATACTATTTTTTCAAAAATGTAACATTCATTCTCATCTGTTTTTTTTCATTGACAAGAGTATCGCACAAGAGTATTTCATAAATCAACTGCAGAACAAGATCGCTCATTATATTCACTTTATATATTGTAGAATGTGGCCTATTTTTAGTTATGAATCTTGGTCTGTTTGAAGTTTGATTATTCTGAATTCTCTTTTTGTTTTTGCTGTTGTTATTATTGTTCTGAATAATGAAGTGTAAATATTAGGTCACATAAACATCAGCGCGTGACATTCCAAAAATGAAAACTATGAAATTCCTTTCACAATCTGATTTTCTCATAAAGTGCAATGCTGAAACAGAACGTTTTTGGTAGACGATTATAAGACCACATCATAAATGTGTGTTGATGTTTAAAATAGTTGTATAATATTACATTTACAGTGTATTACTACTACAACTCCGCCTGGAGTTCCATCCGGGGGCCACTGTCGGTTTCGAGCCTGGATAAATGGGGAGGGTTGGGCAGGGAGTTAGCGTCCCCACACCGTAGAAATTTAACTCGCTAAAAAAACGCTAACCAGAAACGTTATACTACTACGCTGATGCGTGCTACTGATGTCGGCAAATATAAGTAGTATTTATCATCAATCGAAAGCGAGATTTCTTGTGGTAGAATGGTGGGATGATTGAAGAAAATCGAATGAACACAGATAATGATTGACGCGGAAGCAAAGGAACAATCGTGTTTGAGTCAATTGATTGACATTTTGCAAATGAATTATTTACCGTATCGTTCTCAGATTTTACAAAGCAATTCCGTAACTTTGTATTCAAATACATTGGGTTGTCTTCGCTGGTGTTCTCGCTCACAACACCGCTACTACTACTGACACAAATAATATAATCATTGAAGCGTTAGTAGTGTGAGTGGCATTAGTAGTAGCCTTTGCATTGTGTTTAGTAGTGTGACTGGTGGTGATACTGGTAAAATGAGTAGTAGTACTGATAGAGTGAGTAGTGATTTGAATAGTGGTCGTTGTAGCAGTATTAGCAGTTGTGTGTGGAGTAGTGCGAGTGCTAGTAGTAACGCTAGTGGCATTATTATTAGTGGTAGTGAAAGTGCTGCGAGATGTAGTGTAAACAGTATCGGTAGTAGCGTGGGTGATGCACTCAGTACTAGTAATATAGGCACTAGTGGTGGTAGTGTGAAAATTAGTGTAGTTTGGTGTAGTAGCAGTCGCAGTGTGGGTATTAATAGATGCTTTGGTAATATTATTAACTGTAATAGTAGTATGGTAATATTGGTGTGTGTAGTAGTATTTTTTGCAGTAGCAGTAGTGTGAGTAGAAGTGTGAAAACGTCATTAGCTGCAGTAATAGTGGGAGTGAAAACATTATTAGTAGTAGTTGATTAGTAGTATATTAGTTGCAGAAGTGGTTTGAGTGGTAACAGAAGCAATAGTAATAGAGTGGGTAGTGTTGTGAGAATTAGTAATCGTATCATTAATGTGAGCAATAATTGTATCATTAATAGTAGTAGTAATAGTGTGAGTAGTAATTGTATCAGTCGTAGTAGTAGTAGCTAAACTGTGAATATCAGTAATAGTTTTAATTGGACCAAATTGAGCAGTATTAGTCGTAGTGGTTGTAATGTGTGCGGCATTTTGACTAAAACGGGACGTAGATTCAGTGTGATTGGAATGATTTAAAGCTGTAATATTATAAATCGTAGTAGTATTGTGGGAAATGGTGTGAACAGCAGTAATATTAATAATAGTAATTTAGTGGTTCTAGAACCGTGAGCAGTTGTATTGGTAGACCTAATCCGGAAATGGTAGATTTTTCATTATATAACTACTCGATCTATAACATCTTACGTGGAAGTTACATCACCGTCTACACGAACTGATTGCATCGTAACAATTACCAATACATGATGGAGAACAAGCTTAGGCTAGAGATAGAACAATATATTTTATTCATATTAAATATGCCTGCAACACCGAGCCATGACTCACTCACTCAAATCACACGTTAAACATATCCACAAATAACCACCAAAATGATTAGAATTGATGCAGTCGAGTGGATAGACTAGCATCCATAGAATCACAACGAATACCTTAAGCCGTACCGAAACAATGAGAAGCGTGTGCCAAGAAATCAGTCTGTTAATACAATCTCATGATAGAGATATTTGATTTGCATAGCTTCACCAAATAATAGCTGTACATCCAAAAGTGAGGTCGGATCAACTAGAGAACTCTTGTACATCGAGTCTAATAATGAAAACTTGGCTTCCTTTAGTCATTAATTGTGATTGTTGCTGCCCTTCTTGTCTGTTGATGTTTGTAAGTCTAGCGGATTTTCAAAATGCGTCTTAGCTTTTCCTTGCATTTTGTTTGTGAGGATATCGCGTCACAACTACAGCAAGTAGGATCACATCGAGGTTTGTACTTTTCCCAAACTATTCTCCATATTTTCTGTTTCACGGTCATCTGTGTTTGCATGTAACTAATGTACAGCGTGATGAGATTATTTCTGGAATTTGATGCTTCTGGCACTGCTTTTGTCAATACTAACTTCCACCAAATAATAATACAGCCTCAAAATTATCTTTCAAATAATATAAGTCTTTATTTATATGTGATCGCACATCAGTGTTCCAGTTTAGATGGGAAAAACCGGAAAATAATAGATTCATTTTGTCTTTATCTTAATGATTAGAAAGTTTCACGTGTAAGCATTACTAACGTTCTAAACTGTTCTTCATGCTAGAAGGTAGACCAAATAGTTCAGGCAGTTTCTTGGTTGCTCAGGTTCTATAATTGACTACACTTTAAAGAAAGAGATTTCGATAAGATTAAGATAGAAGGGAAATCAATAACTGCCACAATGGGAATGTGCTCATGAAAATACAGTCAAAATACAAGCTGGGTTACGAGAGTGAAAATCAAGAGTGCTGGTGAATTCATCAGAGAACATAATGAGTTTGACTGGGGTATCACGACGAATCCCGCTCTTCACCATACCGTTTCCAACTTCGGCTGAAGACTATTACTCAACCACCAACCAGAAATTTCGCATGTCGTGTTGTACCGCTTCTCCATGAGTTTATTATGTAACTGTACGACCGTGTATTCGGTGTAGACTCTGTGTTATCTAGAATATACTCATTAGTATTAGAATAAAAAGCTGAAACTGGAATGAACTGACTTAAGTCTTTGAATTTTATGAAGTCACTATGTCAGCTGTGTGCTGAAACCAACGACATCTAGATTTGAAACAAAGATTTTCCAACACTATCCTCCCCACGAAATAGCGTGAGGTACTTATACAGCAATGTCATGAACAATTTC